TTGCCACTATACCTTCATTGCCCAGCGTGCTCCAGAGTACTTGTTCCGCGGTTGCGTTACTGCAAATGTCACTTACTAACTAATTCGAACTCAATGGCGGACGTCCTCCATCGTGGTCGCTGGCGAACGCCGCCATTGACCGCCGGCCATTAAAACTTCGTACTGGTTGGACGACGAGTATTTAGATGTGAAACCAGTAGGCATGAAGGAAAAAAAACGCAATACCGCTACTGTACAGCCCATCAGAGCCGCGTGTCAATGACAGGCCGCACGCAACGTCGCATCGACATCGGTGGCGCCATGAAAGGAGAGTTGAGGTGATGGTTTTGCGTATGAGCGGCTCCTAACATTAGTCGGCGGTTTTTCCCTACAATAGATATTCATGTCTCACTCTTGGTAGGAAATCTATAATCATATCTGGAAAAAAGGCATTTAACTGACTTCGCGATTGAGTTCAGCTTGCCTCTAGTCAATTCCATCAAATTATCTTTTATTAATTGCTTTTTACAGAAACTAATAAAAGTCAGAATTTACTAGATGCCCTAGGCGAGAATTGAACCAGACGCCAGCACGATCATGTGTACGCAAAACGCCGCCTCTTACCACTCAGCCATCTGCGTCGTTAAACGTTACTGTACAATTACACCATTAATACAAACCCATGTAACGAAACACAAGAAAAATTATATTCATATTACGGAATAGAAGAACTCTATATAGCACAAATCTAGAAGTCTGAACTTTTCGATCCGGTTACGCCATGTCCTCGACCTCGAGAATTGAATCTTTGAGTCAATTGAGAGGTGCAAGAATTTCGAACTTTTGGGCCCAGCGAATCGAGAAGTGACAGCTCTTCGCTTCAGTCACCCAAAAATTGCTGCAAGCGCTTGACTCCTTCCGACAAAATGTGAAGCACGTCTTTACGATCATGAGGTCTCAACCAGCGACTGCAAGGCAGCGAGCGCCTCTAGCCACTGCACCTCCGTTGAAATTATAATTCGACGTTTTAACAGCTTACATTTGTATTTTATTAGTAACACAATAGAATTCATCAAAACTCTACCTGAAATTGACCAGAATTCAGGAGAATAAGCTGGTAACGAGTAGGACCGGGTAGAGGACAAGCCACCACACCTGAGACTTTGCTCACCTTCATCGAATGAGGTTTGAGTCAAGTGTCAGGCGGGATGGAACATCCAGATATTGTTGATGGGGTGATGAATAGGACGATGAAGAATAGAAAAAGGAATGGGCAGACTTGGAAGAAAACAGCGAGAGGAGGTTGCTGGAAGATGTGATTATTTCTCGCGACATTTACACATGAACAACTGTGGTGAGAAAGCGATAATACGTCTCCCACGGTACTTCTCTCCACAGAGGATTTCTGAAGGAATGGCATGGCGTCTGAGGTGACCAACAGAAACGATTTGACAGTTGACGGCTCGACCCGAATCAAAAATAGGTGAATGTTCGTAAATTTCCGATTGCTCTATAAAAGTAGCCCGAATTTACTCTGAAAAAGTAACCCAAGTTAGGTAAGTAGCCTATTTAGCCTTGCCAACATGGGCTGATTTTCATGGTTTTCAGGATAGTGTTTTCACATGTTCAAAAGAGAAACACAAGAAAGGGCGTTCTTCCAAAAAAATTCTACAATGGCCCAACTGCAAAAATAGACTGTCATCACTCACCTCAACTCACTTTTACCTAAGGCTGGACCTCTAACCACCCTTGAGCTCCAGAAGAAGCAGAACTGCTAACACCAAGGGCTGGTAAACTGCGTAATAACGCTGTCAGTAAAATTAACCGCAGACTTACCGGTGAGTAAACGGAGAAAGGAAGACTATCAGGAAATATGATTCAGACTATCCATTTGTGAAAATTACATTCTATCAACAGACTAAGCTACCCAATCATTTCCAGTCGTGGATGTGCTCTGTTGACCCACCCTCTTCCCCCCCCCCCCTCCATATTTCCATAATAAGGGAAAAGAAACCCAGGACATCCGGAAAGGGGCCCCGAAAACGTCATGTCCCATCGCCGCCTTATACTCATCCTTTCTGGGCAAGGTAAAGAAACAGCTCTGGGTAGGTGCTGTTGACTTATCCTAAGGCCGATCCCGAAAATCAGGACCCAAAATTTAGCAATGGATGAAATAGACAAACATGTCGGAATTGCTATAATTTTGAGATCCACATCGACGTGGGATCAAAATACCACGGAGAAGTCCCTACCAGCTACCAAGAGCACTGCAACTTGTTCCAATTCGAGTCTTAACCAGGAAACAACCTTCAGTCGAGCAGAGCAGAGCAGCATCAGCGACGAAACGGCAAAGTGGAAACAGAACACCGCCACTGTTTCGGATTCAGCATCGATAATATTCGCATGAAGTGGGGGGAGCTGGCCGGGGCTGGCTCACGGCAGGCGAGGGCGCCCAGCAAGAGCAAATAGACTGAGCACGTCGAAGGCTGGGCTGTAACAGAGGCCCATATCAGACACAGCGTGGTCAGGCCACCACCACCAACGGCATCGGTCGCATTTCGAATTCGAACTTGGCTCAGATGAGAGAGGACGGGGCGGGCGCTGAGGCCGTCGCGATGGCGGAGGCGGTGGTGTGGCGCGCGCACACTGCGGCCAGCAATTACCGTGCGCCGCAGCAATTTCGCCGCTAGGTTTACGAGGAGTTCATTGGATGCCAATTAGAGCGCGAATGGCCGCCTGACTGGCTGGATGGCTGGCCCCTGCGTGCTGCCATGCTCTCTATCCATAACTGGAGTGTGGTGAATGTTTTACGACACACATAACTCATATTGTTACAATCTCGACAACGACGACGGCTCACTTGCTGATTGCTGGCCAAGGGAATCAGCACTTCTATTCATTACCCGAGGTCGCAGGGTTATATCGGTATAGGGATTAAAAGGCTGAGATCTCAGACTTTAGAAAATAAGTAAATCCCTTCAGAATATCTTTGTTTCAATGGAGAATACCCAAACCCCATTAGGGGGAACTTTCAATCAAGGATGCCTACACCTCTTTACCCACAACCCATGGTATGGTAACTGAATACCTTGAAACCGCAGAATAAACCTGGATTGGTGACCCCCCTCAGAACTCCAATTTCGAAGGAGGGCGCTCATGACGTTAGGGGAAAAGTGAGTTGGTAATGCCCTACAGAGTTTTGACTAAGCTTAGGGGGGGAGTATTTGGGAATACCTAGCATTTTGTTCTCCTGGCGTTTCTCCCTCTCCTGTAGTCTTAAGAAAGGATGTCAGCGGTCTCTGAAGCCCTGTTTTGAAATGTCCTACCCCCCCACCTCACCTGTGACTGTGAATCATGGCTAACTCGAAGGAAGTACCCTAACCCATTTGATGGACTTACCCATGAGCCATAGGTATATAAGCCCAAAACCTCGAGCAGACATACGTTATGAGAACCCTTTGAAGCACAGTTGGAGGAGGGCGCTCATGTCGTTTAGGGGGACATTGAGTTCGTGAGTGCACTTACAGAATCTTGGGATAATCCCTTAAGAGGGGAAGGACTGAGCGACCTTTGTTCTACCGCATTTCTCCCCCTCCTAGGCCTAGTACTGAGGGCACAGCGATTTTTCAGCGCCCTGTTTTGAACAAGTCCTTATGGACGCCCGAAGAGCAGCAGCAAGCAAAGGCCATTAGGATGGACTTGCGGTCACGGGTGGTCATACCCACCCTTACCCAGAGTCACTGGTATGGGAACTAAAACCCTACAACCTAAGAAACCCTAAAACCTTGGCTAGTAAACCTCTTCAGAAAATCCGTTTGGAGGAAATCAGCAAAAGGCAATTTGAACAGACAGCTGAACCTTCCCGTCGAGGAACGCTACGCCTAGCCTGACCCATAGCACTTATTTAGCCCAAAAACCTGGGTAAAAAAGTTGCCAGAGAATCCCTTGAAATCACCCAAGAAGAGTAGACAATGACCATCTCGATTGGCTGCCGAAATCAACCAGCAGAGGAAGGCCACCCTAGCCTTTGCCATAGCTCTTCAGCGAACAAGGCGCAAACGCGCTCATTCGGGGCCTCCCTTGACCTTTCTTAGAGTATGAATACCGCCACACTCACAGCCAGCCACTTCCAATCCAAATAATCTCAATTTTCGGGGCGAGCGGCTGGATTCAGTCGATTAGTGGCGTGAGACAGCGAGCAGGGAGAGGAGGAGGGAACTGTGCCTGAACCAGTTATGGGACTGTCACCAAAGCGCTATAATGAATAAGAGGATCGTATTGCCCATTGGATACTTCAGGCTAAGAGCGCGAGATATCCTAGAGGACCTGAAGAAGGGGGTCTAAAGTGCCTCTTCCCACTTTTCCCCTTCCATCCCCTTCCCTATCATTATCGATTTCTGGCTATATCATGTCAATACTTAGGCAGTTTTGCCCATTTGTGAGCCTTCTCGAGGATTATCCCCGACCGCGCAGACGAGAGCGCTGATGCGGGGGATGTTTCCGGATTATCCCGATTATTTGGCAATGTGAACCCCAGCCATTCTGCACTAGCTCCGGTCATACCTAGCGCTTGGATTTGGTTCAAATTGAGGAAAAAAGGCTGACGATTATGAAATCTACCCAAATGGGAAGCAAGAGTACCGCCTGGAAAGTTACCCAAATGAGTCATTCGGGGTTACCCAGCCAATTCGAGCAGCCCCGCAACGAGGGATAGGGATGTGTGGAACGAAAAAAGTGGCTATTTGAGAACCTGTGAAGGGTAAAACATGGGAGAACTAGTTTACCTACTGTATGAAATCTGATCTAACGAACACCCAACCACTCACGCACCCACACAGAATAGCAGCCATTGTTAGCGGAAAGCATTTAGTTGAGTGAGCAGCAGCCAGCAGTAGTTTCCGGTTACAGCAAATATCCCCCAACCGGGTTCTGTTTAAGCACCAACAGCTCGGTTACTGCTGTTACCGCTGCTGCTGCTGCTGCTGCTTACCCAACTGGAGGGAAAACTGTGAACAACGTACCTGAACTGTTGTGTACTGGTTGTCGCTGTTGTTGGCCTGTGCCTTCCTCGTCCTTTGTCGTCCATAGAAAGACCTCGTTCGGCGCGCTCGACGGCCAAGCGTCGTCGTGTCGTGTTTGCCCTGCAATTACACCATTGGCGCGACACATTTCGCACCTTTACTCATAAATACACACAGACAGGCTAACATACCCTAAATCATGACGACCGGAGGCTTTCTCTTCTCGACACTCGGCCACAGCAGCAATGTGATCTCATTGGGCAGACGAGGCGGAACACGATCGCATGTGAGCGTAGGCCGCCTCGGCGCCATCAGCGCAGTGGCGCCGACGGCGGCCTGCGCTTGAGTGCACCTGGATCGATGAGCGGCTGAGCTTGTGTGAGAGCGTGAAATCGATACAATTAGGAAAGTATGAGGAGCGGAGAGGCTCTCAAATGACGAGGCTGACTTCTGCTTCAGAAGCAGCGCTCAGCGAGGCGCGACGACGAGGTGTCATCGTCGTCGTCGCTGAGAGCAGTGGCGGCGACGGCCGCGGCGATGGCAAATGACGGTGAGGATCGGGCGCGCGACGCGACGTAATGCAGCACTCGAGCGCGACGCAGAGTGTCGTCGGACATTGCGCAAACTGGTTACGCGTCCCGGACCTCACGCGCCATCGCCACCCGGCCCCCGGTGCGATGCGATGAACCGCAATTACCTCTTCACCGGCAGGCGCGCTGAGGACCATCACCATCATCACTTCCTTGTTGTTGATTTCGGAATAGGAATAGGTCACCTTTAGCGTACAGGACTGCTGCCGAAGGGTTCAGGACAGCTGAAGGGTCACGTAACGCGACGGACCAACTTCCTGGTGAGGTTAGTTGGCTGGCTGATGGACCGACCGACGGCGAGCCGACCAGCCAGCCAGCCTGCCAGCCTGCTCTGCAGTGTGCCTCTCCTCATCTTGCCGTGGGTGCATAATGATGAGCTCTCTGTGGCCATAACGAGCGCCGCCGCGAATCGATGTGTGCCAGCCGCATCTGATACGCAGTTAAAATGCCGAACAAGGCGTCGTGTACGCAGCGAAACTGCATCCAGCCAGCAACTGAGTGGGCGATACTGAAGAACGAGACCGATTCGTGTCAAAATGCTAACGGGTACTGTAGCAAGCTGGACTTAAATCCATCGAAATATCTAACTTAGGGGGGGGGCAGCTCACTTCATGAGTCAAGCTAGGACCCTACAAGAGGCACAGTCAAATGAAGAAGAGTAAGGCAAGAAAAGTACATAACTACCCCTCTCTCTCTAGCGATTGGAAGAGTCAAGAGAAACTCGGCTATTATATAGAAAAAAGACTCACCAAAACCGCTTCCATGGTACCGAGAGTCCAGCGCTGTCGCAGGGTACTGGGACCACGGCTGCCAAAGAACGAATAAGACGAGTAGGTGAACTGAAAGAGTAAGATTCACCGCTGGCGCGACATCTGACGAGATGAGCTCGAGACGAGGGCTGCTACGGAGGTGGCGAGCCGCCCTCGGAAGCTCACAGCGCGTTTGACGGGAGTCAGCCCCGCCCTCGTCGTCATCGCCGGGAATCACCCGAAGAGCCCACCCTTATGATAGATTTTGAGCTCATCACAGAGACTTACCTGGTCTTCCCAGGTGCCAAAAAGTTCGGGAATATGCAACTATTCAGAACCAACTTGGGTGAAACGATGATGGAAGAGGGTCTGGGAAGGAAAGAGGCGGGTGAGGCACTCTTCGTCGGGAAAATGGAATGCATTAATCCAATATGTAGTATGCTCCTGCTGCGATCCAACACGGCCGCCTGCTGCCGCCTTGTGGATGTGCGTGCTCGATTTTCGACATGTCGCGCGATTAGTACTTGCCACGGTGTCCCACGGCCACATAGACGAGCCCTGAGGGTGATCATAAGTCGGGCACTCTCCGTGGGACCCGATCCGGAAACAGGTCATGACCCACCTCGAGTTGTGAATCAGCACCCGCTTTCACCAGGGATTCCCTGGGTGTGTCAGTTCTGCTCGTCAGGTCAGGCAACCCTGAGCCTTACCCTGTGACTAAGCCTAAACCAATGTGTGAGCATGAGCCAAAACCTGAGCTTAACTTAAGGATTCAACGATCGCGTAGTCTGGTGACCTGACCTAGGAGGAGAACTAAACGTATCTAGAATCCCCACACATCCCCCAGCTCCGGCCGAAGAAGAGCACAGTTGGACGAATTTCCAGCCCAGCTTCTTACCTCGCAGGGTAGGTAGCGTGAACCGCTCAACAACCCAACCTCGGGAAGAAACTTAACCAACAGGTCCCATGTGCAAAATCCGAATATGTTAGGTAATCAGGCATCCGGACACTTTATTGTCTGGACGACGATTTCCCAACTTTTTGCTACATGGGAGAAATTTCAGATAAGGAACAGATCCCAAAATCACACGCCATTTCTTACCCAGGCTTGATTACCGATGGCACGGGTTACATATTCTACTAGCAGACGGGTTCAACAGCCATGCCCTGCTTCTTCTTAGGGATTTCTTCTTAAAGCGGGTACTGATTTATCGCAGGAAGTAGGCCAAGTCGGACCCAGAAAACCAGCAATATTTCCTGGGGACGTTTCAGGCATAAATATCTCCAGCTATGAATGCCCAGATGACATCTTAACAGATAGGGGAGATATCCTAGAGGGTTCATCGCTGAACCACAAACATTATGGGGTGGCAAAAGAGGGTCCAGACCAACAGTGCAAAATCTTGCGCTTTAGCTCTTAAAGTGGCCACAACGGCAAAACATATCGACTCATGAGTCATCAAATGCGGTAAAATAGGAAGCCCCTTCTTCAAGATCGATTTACAATAGAAGAATTCTCGATCGAACCCGCCTTCACCAGCTGACCCATACCAGAACCGGAAGGACTATAGTAAACTCTTAGACAGGGTGATCGGGTGTAGGAGAGAAAGCTGGACAGCATAACCATTCGGGGTTACCTATTCCAGCCTCGAAAGGTGTCGAGCAGAGAAGTCATTTGAGCGGGGGTCAAATGCTGTTGGTGGGCGGGGTATGCGTTAAAGTGGGCGGAGTTTGCCACGAAACTTCGTAACTCGGTTCCAAGAAGTTCCGGACTGCTCAGTGACCGAGGGGTCTATTTAGCACCTTTCGAGATAAAGCATAAATAAACTAGGGTAGTCGTACTGCGCTCAAACAAACAAATCAGTGGATAAATTTCTATCCCTACAGATTGGAACCACCCAGTGGATTCTAGTGCTAAATACAACTGAAAACTTCCGGCACAGCGTCGAGCATTCTCCAGAGATCTCTGAGCTGATGAATGAGCAGCTTGATTCACATGGCAACACCACACACACACACACACACACGGCCAGCGCACTAACGCTTTATCGATAACTTTTGAGCAAACGAACGAACGAACCAACGAACGAGACGAAGATGGACAATCTGTGAAGATGAAACGTAATAACTTCGTATAGCAAGCTGAGACCCAAACAAGCAACGCGCAACGCGTAATTTTTAGCTAAACTGGGTAGCTTTGTGAGTAAACTAGCTATTCAATATGAGAACAGATATTCGCTGTAACAACAATGGCAAATTTAAAGCATACAAGATAACCAAATGATGGACGAAATAAAAGCCTTACTCGATTAAGACGAGAGCTAACAAATTATGAAGTATGTGTTTTACAAAGAAACACGAAAAGTTGATTCTAAAAAGTCGAAAAAATAGAGAAAGTCCCAAAATCTTCCAGTGAGGTTGAATATTTCATTGCCATAGCACCTTCGTTCAGCCAAGCATTGCTCAGCTATTGTGTAGCTTACCTAGTTAACGAAATACCGCGTTATCGAGAGGAGGAATTCAGGAAACCGTAAAAGCCGAGGATGTCCTCGGCGACGAGATTCCCAAAAGGTAGCTACACAGCGCTTGGATTATTACCCCTAGCCTGACCATAGGATTCCGCACATCACAATGTAGCAAACATCTTCCAGGAAATTTTTGGGCCTATTTTGAGCTTTTAAAGAAATTTGAAATCCAGTGTTAGCGCCTCTTATAGCTTTTGGGATTACTGATAGGAAGGTCTTTAAGGGCTCAGGAGTTTTACTGTAACGATTTTTTAGATTTTGTAGGGATATACAAATCGGGGAAGAAAAAAGATGTCAATTTCCTCACATAACGCGCTTGTTTACCAAAAAAAAAACAATAGGGGAATAAATTCCGTGATAATTTAGTGAAGCAAATGTGAATGATCATCTCGCGCCACTCGATTTCCGCAGTGACCGAATTTATTCCGTACCACAAAATCTACTACAGTAATCTCAATGCCGAAAGAACTTTAGTTGCTCCACAATAACAAAAATGCAAAGTATTTACCCGATCATTTGTATTTTCTATGAAGGGACTGCAAAGTACATAGATATACGCTAGAAAAACGCCAAAACCTAAACTGATCGGGGTTCAAAACGTTGATCTTGGAAATTGTCTTTTGCTCCGCCCAATACACCAAGAGAACAACCGGAGCACATCTGACTTTCCATGTACCCATACCATTCAAGAAAATTCTGGCACATTTTCCCGGACCTCAAAGACCTCTCTAATAGAGAAAAATCCTACTTACAATTAGTTTAGAAAAAAGGCATAGTTTAGCACCTGGGAAATGTCAAAGTCTATAGGGTAAACACGCAAAAATGCACTTTTCGGCGGTAGCCACAAGAAGAAACGCAAGAAACGCGCAAGAAACGCCGCTAACTCACTATGATAAAACAACTTGATAGTACAGTACTACACAGGTACGACAGTGAGAAAAACAATGACAACAAATAAAAATAAATATAAAACTAAGATGAAAATCATATTCTTACAGCTTCCGGTCATTCACAGAATGGATCACAGGATAATTTCAAAGCAAAAGATGTCACAACGATGACAGCGACAGCCAGCCGTCAGCCAGCTATCACCATTCAATTAAACAAATCGGAAGCATTTCTGCTTGTCCGGCGGTAGACGGGTCTTGAACAAAACCGAATCGGCACGAAATTGCGAGAACCTTCAATCAAAAATTCAAATTTGCACATCTATCGGCGATAGGAATATGTGAACGAAGACGAAGATTGATATTTTGTGAAAAAATGCCATATACTATTCAAAATAGCCCCCATCACCACTGTCGATGCACGATGTAAAGGTTTTTGAAGTAAACTGAACCAAAACAATAATAATAATAGTGTCGTAGTATAAAAATTCCTATAAATAAAGAAATGGGCGGAGTTTGCGCGGTGGGCGGGGTAGTCAGATGCGTAGCGGAAGGGAATGGATGGTGGACGAGTTGTAGTGGGGGAAGGGGGCGGTTGGGGGTGTGATATATTACATAAAATGTGAAAAAATAACAACAAAAATGTGCTGTTCGGGGGTTGTGGGCGGAGTTTGCGCGGTGGGCGGAGTCTGAATATGGCTAATACGGGGGGTCCGTGAGCCAGGGGGTGTGCGTATGGTACGTATACCATGAAAAGCTGAGTTGGAATGAAATGGTGCCCCGGTAGCGTAACTGGTAGCGCACTTGCCCGGAAAGCGAGAGGTGCGGGTTCTAGTCCCGCCTGGGGCGAAAGTTTTGTTCACAACCCAGCATTCTTGTGAAAAATATTTAAAAAGCGGATCTGACTCAGTATTTAGAAGCGCTAGCCCTAATGTGCAGAGTCCATTGGATCAGATCCTATTCAGGCCAATAAGGATTCTACCTCAATCCTTCCCCTCTCCCTCGCCCCCCCCTTCCCCTACTAATAGCCTATTAGTACCAAATTTGAGAGACCAATTCACCGAATCGTAATTATCTAGTGTTTTTCATATACCTACTATGCTGTTGTTGTTGTTGGGTCAAATGCTCGTTTGAACACTAATTGCAATCCTGAGCACTAATGAATACCAGACGAATGCACGGCGCAATCGAAAGCTTTCTTCAAACACAGAGGACCTCAAATGAGTGATTTCTACAGACGTAAAAACGAGTTAACACGTCAAAGACCCGATCAGTACCAATCCAGATTGCGCCATATACTCGACAGATACTCAAAAAACTTTATGGTTTTTCGGAAATTTTTTGGTCAACTTGTAACTTTTGCAAAGTTAGTTTGTTCTGGATCATTTTTCATGTTTTAAACACGATTGCCACCGATCAACTTGGCATTTGTCATAAAAATATACTTGGGACCCATGCAGTTTATCCTGGCCGCTGAATTTCCTGCCATGGCTCTCCTCCGAACACAGACACTGTAAACGAATGAAGGACAGTGGCCGGCTCCATTCCGGGCCATAGGGAGTGAGGTAGGCCCCATTCCTAGCTGAGTGGAGGGAAGGAGGGAGGAGGGGGATAAGGGGGAGGAGAGGGTTTCAATGTAAGTGGTTACTCACTATTCAGCAAAATTTGGGGTCACAGTAGGCATGAAATGTTGTCTAGTTCCAAGGTGCAGACTACAGCAAAACATTGACGCAGTTTACCACATTGACATCCCCTTAAGCGTGTACCATCGGTACCGTTTTTGTTTATTTTTTTAATAAACCTCATTATATTTTTCAATGACGACTCGGTAATTGGTGAGCAGCTTTTCGAGTGAGATAGAGCCTGCATACACTCCTGAAATATGGAAAATGCCAGATAAATCGAAAAAAAACTAGCGAGAATCGGGTGAAACTAAGACGACCAAGCGCGTCTCAATGTCGTCAACGTGTTGGCGAGTTTCGTAGCAGGCCCGTAGAGTCGAGAATCGAACGAGCCATCCTTGTCCGACGTCAAAAACAGCGCATGGCCAACTATCCTTGCACTTACATGTGTGAAGAGGGTTTACGCTGCGGCACCGCGACGCTACAGTATCCTGTGTACGTTTCGTTCACCTATGTTGAGTGTAGCGTTGGATGCTGATGTTTTGTAAGCAGCAGGATCGTACTAGTTCAACGCTCCGCTCTATTCCGGTCTGTCTTGGAACTCGCCCTCGAAGCGTGCGTCAATCATTCTTTTGTAGTCTGCCAGAACTCAGCGACAGCGCTGTGTTTGTCAATGCCCATGTGTCAGAGTAATGAACGCGTTGGCAAATCGACGACTGAATATTGCACCGGCGGTTGCTTCGCAACTGCTTGCAGGCTCTTGATCCCACCAGTGCAACGCCGCCAACCATCTCCCGGATTAATTTCGCCGACGAAAAAAGGTAGCGTTCGATTTTGCCAACGCGTCCACCTTCTCAAAGCTCAAACCGCTCTCAATCTCACGGCTCTTACACAAAACAACCTCAATTCACATCCTCATTTGGGAAAATTCAAATTATGCACTAAGATGGTATGTATTGCCAATAAACCGCCGGATCAATATCCACGATTTTGTCCCGCGGGAACAGGCACGTCTATATTATTGATCTGGTATATTTCAGAATTGGCATGTGTACGCTCTCACCGGGTGTGACCACGGTTGCCAAAGTAATTTTCCAACTTAGCCTCATAATGCATGAACCAACTTCAAGAACCCCTGCCCTATGTAGGATGCGCCATGCACCTATTTCCACTCACAACCAAGGCCAGTGTTGTCATCCCTTAAAAAGAAACGCCATACAGGTCCTTTTTGTTCAGATTGAGACTGGGCAGCCTGTTGGCATGATGGCTCGGCCAAACTCTCCAATACGCCATTCCGCAAAAAAAAAATATGCCCAATAAAGGACAAAAGATGATATGTGTTTCCCTACGGACGACGGACGCTGATTTATTCTGAGGCCGAAAGTGCATGCTGTAAAAACAATGTAGATTGCACGGGATATTGTTGGGCCCCTCCGCCTCCTTTGCGCTATTTTAGCTGTGCCCTGCTGGAAGACCTTTGGCGCACCGTTTCTGGCGAAGCACCTTGCGAGTAAAAAAAGGATGTTTGGTTCACAGTATTTGACCCGCCTGTGGGACTGGTTTGGGGCTAATTCGGCGCAACTGCGTACCGTAGGAGGCGCATATTCGCAAGCCCTAGTCCATGTACACATCCAGTCCAGATTATGAGCCCGCCAATGTGTCAACAGATTGTCTACGACAACGACATGGCACTGGCGCACCTCCCGCAAAACAGTGGCGATTCGGCTCATCTCCAAACCCCAGCCTTCAGTTATGGGGAGTAATAATCAATTCATCGAAGAGAAGGCCCGGGACCAGCCTCACTAAAGCAGTTGTCTCTGTGCATTCAGGTGTGAGGAGGACCAAAACTGGTGGATCCTTCAGCGCTCGCGGGAATTTCGCACATCAAAAGCATCACTTCACGTACGCCGCTAAAAGCGCTACAAGGAAGGTCTTTCAGGGTGTGCCAAGCTTTTTCAAAACGGTCTTTGCATGATATAGGGCACATGCGGGAACCACAGAACCATGGTTAATTTTTCCTGAACGGCCCTCTGAATACCAGAAAAGGGGTCCCTAGTCACACCTTTTTCACCAGTTTTTCAATCAAAGTAAGGGTTACTGACGTTCCTAATCATGAATATAGTACTTATTCATGCTAACTCCATTTTGCGCGAATTTGGAAACGTCAACACGAAATGCAAAAAAAAAAAAAACTTGTCACCACGAGGAATCGAACTAGGGACCCCTTTTCTGGTATTCAGAGAGCCGTTCAGGAAAAATGAACCATGCTTCTGTGGTCCCCATATGTGCCCCAATGTCATGCAAGAAACCATTTTGAAAAAGCTTGGCACACCCTGAACGACCTCCCTTGTAAGTGATACCACGGCCACAAATCCCACTTAAAACCATCAGGGCCCACCCACCGCTAGGATTTCTCTTCTGCGTCGCGATGGTAATCCGGTATCAAACTCTACTCAAACTTCTTTCACCTTCTCCGCGACTCACATTATCTCTCACCTCGCTGTCTGCCCGGCCTTACTTTGTTTTAAATATTGATTTTGCCTATACGCAAAAAGGATCGTATTTTTGTGTTTTTCACGATTTTCTTTCCTTTTTCTCCGTCTGTAGTCCACCTCCCCTTCCCACTTTCATATTTGAGTGAGAATGCCACATTAATTTGATCCTGTCCCATGCCTTTAAATCAATGCTTTTAACAAATGCTTTCTGCGGAGTCTCGGAGGTATGCCATAATTCCCGCCTAAAAAACTTATCAATAAATTTCATACTACGCTTCTAGAGTGTTCTATTCGATAGGCAAACCTATCAGAAGTTCCGACTGCACATCTTCATATGCGAAATAAAATAAGTTCAAGGCGAAAAAGGACGCAGTTGACTTATGCACCTTTAGGGTAACTGCTTCAGAAAAGGCCATTCACATATGAGAAATAAGTCTTCCTATTTAGCATTTTTACTGCTCGCAGAATAGCTTATCCTATTATCTACGGCAACTAATTACAACCTATTAGAATTCCACTGCACGTCTCAAATGGAAATCAATAAGCCCGAGTCGAGCCACTTACTTCAGCGGATTGTATCCATAGATTCTGGTGAAGAGTCGTATGCATTCGTGTCGTTCGCGGAAATGTGATTCGTCTTGTGACAGCGTCTCCGTGCACGTCGGACACCTAGAGCGACGAACGATTAGTCGTTCCGTTGCCGCGCCGACACTTGCCATCTACTCGATTTACCGACAGAACGCATTTCAGCAGGGCTACGAACCTCTCCACCGCGTAACTTTAGGAGGGTGGATTAGTTTAAAAAATTTCCGAAACTGGCCAAACGCGACGCCTGCCCCGACTCAGACCCAACCCACGAACAAACGCAGCCCCTAGTGGTTCGTCTATTTTGACGTTGCCCTCAAAAAATTGGTCTACATGTAGGAATAAGCTTACCAGTCTCTCCGCGCTTACCTGTGTGAAAAAGCCATTTCTCTGAACAGAGCTGCCTGTCTCCCATTTTGGCTATAGTCCACTATCATCTGGATGCGAATTAGTGTGTTTGATCGTCACATAAAGTGGCGTTGTGGGGAAGGGCGTTAAGGGAGAAGAGACTGGAGCTAGTGCTCTGAAGAAGGGAGCTAATCGCCGTATCAGCAGCCCGGCCCTGAAGCAAGCCTTCACACACACAAGTCCATGGAAAGGTTGAGAGACATCTTGAATCCTGAACCTGCCAATACGACCCCACCGAAAATCACAAAAAAACGACGCCTTAAGGGTTGACTATGAACTGGTAGTCACATTGGGTGGACGGTATTCACCTAAATTTGGCTTCCAATTGTGGCTCTGAGATGAACATAAGCTTGAGCTGCCGTTTCAGGGGATTTCGCCTTGTCTGTCACAATAAATCGAGGACCAGGGTCATCGATATCACACTTACCCTTTTTCCCTACTGACCAGAGTCATTCCGTTGCCGCCGACAATGTCATCACTACCCAATACCGATGGACAATTTCACAGGGCTACGAAACCTCTCCACCTTTACTTTTCTGCTGCTCACTGAAGAGCTGGATCAGGGGGAGCATGGAGAGAGGAAAAGGACTGAAGAACTACATCTACTCTCTACGTTGCTCTGATGATAAAAGACCTGGCTAAACCTGGCCCTGGCACTATTTACCCTTCATTACCCCACTTCTCAAAAACTGAGCGGGATTGCTATCAAATTTATCCATGACTGCGAATCTGAACAGAAGCCTGCCGCCGAGGGTTGACCTGCAGAACATGAATATCACATTAGTTCGTTGCAAATGAGCCTGCAGCCTGCGAGAGGAGCGCCGGTGCAAAAGTGTAGCGTCGGCGTTTTGGCGTGGGCACCGCGTTGTCTCACGCTAAACTGATGTGATATTCGTGTTCTGCGGATTGGAAACCTACGGAGGCAAACTCTTAGCCAAATCCTTAATCACTGGCCAATTTCGATTGAAATCCGGCTCAACCCTTGGGGAATGGGCAGTAAGGAGTAAATAGTGCCCTGGTCCTCGATATAATACTGTGACAGACAGGGAAAAATTCCTAAAATGACAGCACAAACCACTAAATGCACCTCATGGCCAAACTGGAGGCCTAATTTAGTCATACTGAATGTGCATGGCTGAAATAACACCGGCCATTTACATTCAATATAGCTACAGTCCATAGCCAATCACTCGGCGAATTTTCCATCCAAGGCGTCGTATTTGTGATTTTTTAATGGAATCGTATTGGCAGGTTCAAAGTTCGATCCATCGACCGCGTTCAGAGGATTGTATGTGGAGGCTACTCGCTCTACTTGCTGGCTTTTAATACGGCGACTAGCTCCGCTATTCAGAACACCAGCCAATCATCTTATTATTCCTATAACGCCCCTCCACACCTTCATGTGACGATCAAACGCATTCCGGCCACATCGAGGCTGGCCAAAAATGGGAAAGATTGGTAACGCTAATCGGAAAAAAAGCGTTTTCACTCAGATAAACGCTGAATAACGCTGGTAAGCCTTAGACCAATTACTTGAAAGCAAAGTCAACAGGCAACCCACTAAGAGCTGCGTTTGTTGGTCTTTTGGGTCAGTCAGAGACAGGACAACCGTGACATTGGCCGGTTTCAAAAATTTTTACTTGCCACCTCTTAAGAGGTCTCGATACAACCTCCCCCCCCCCCCTAGAACCGTTCACGTGAAGACGGTCACCCACGAATATAATTTTGTTCATTTCAGGCTTCTCTTTTGAGGTTTCCAAAAACTCTCTATAACTGTTTCCAGCTCCCGCAACTATAGTCACCCACCTTCGGAAAGGAACGACCTGTTCACCTTCTCAACTCCAATTACGACCCTTTCCAAATACTACGCCCGTCTGGACCAGCGCACGAACGGTTGGCCCTGATCAAAGTGCAAGGAGTACTTCTAGCGTTTAAACAGAGAAACAGATTAGAAGAAATTCCAAGCGTCAGTTCCAAGAAAGTGGGAGATGAGGGACGTTTTTGAGAATTTGTGGAGCCCTTGGTTCTACGACTAGAAGGGAGACTGGAAGGTACAAGCTAGATTATAAAACAGAACCTCAGAATGAATTAACAAAAAGACAAAAAAATGGAGATTTTGTTTTAAATGCCTGCTTCTCCTAGTTAACATAGAACAAAGAGTTCCCCACAAAGCTTTGAACTTTTGAAAATCTCCCCACTTCGGAACCTCAAAAATAAGGATCTCGGAATCTCCAGAAGACGCCCCTGATTTTCCTCTTGGGACTTTTACTCGAGATCCATCGAGCTCCACTCAGAAAATTCTCCTACCACACTGAGGCCCAACCACTAACAAAAATAGTTCGCAGTAGTTGGCCACCCACGGTGAATATTCCACTCGTGTTCATGCATACTGAATAGAATGCCATGCCCTTAGTTTCTCGATGACATTCATCACAAAAGACTATCACTTTCTGCTGATTCAAGATACCGTAATAAACCCATTGTGATGCAAATCTGTCATCTCAACAAAAAAAGCATCCAATACTGGGCTTGCCGCTCATGAATCATTAAGTGGCTTAGCCCGAAAACGGCTCAAAATGAGCAAAAACATCAGCCGCATTCGCATGTCATGAAATGATCGAATGCAAGGGAATTGCATCCAGAAATTTGAGCATCAATATCGGCTTGAAAGATAGCAGTCGAGTGCTTGCGGGGAAAGAGAAGGACAGTTCGAGAAGAAAATCTCACCTAATTGTCCATTTGCTGGTCGTTTTGATCGGCGGTTCCCGAGTGAGATGTGAGACAAGGAAATTCATCGCAATATCTTCACAGTTTGTCACCTGATCGACATGTTCGCGTATAGCCTCCGGCATTTCGTTGGTATATGCGTGTAGGTACGACTGAAACATTTCATTAGACGCATAATTCTGTGGAGGTAAGCAAACCAGCCCTTTTGGCGTTTCTGCTGGGGCCGTATGCTGAATGTTGGGATGGGGTCCCCGAGGTCGACGGACTACTTCAACTCGGTCGGTACGGTAGGAGAGTGATGACGCAAGTGGTGCAGCTGGTCCAGCAGCTCCGCCAAAAGGGCTGGTTTGCTTACCCCAGGACTAAGCCTTGGAAGAGGACGGACCTGCGCTCTCTCGCAGGTCCGTCCTCTCTTTAAGGCTTAGTCCTGAGGTAAGCATCAAATTGAGGCGGTTTTAAGGACCGAGTTGAAGCAGTCGTCAACGTTCCCTTTCCAACATTCAGCTGCGGCTCCAGCAGAAATGCCAAAAGGGCTGGTTTGCTTACTTCGACTCTGCTGGTGCTTTTCAGGATAGGTGCGCGCCCACGCGTGGAAGAAATACCTGTAATTGGTGGCGCCAAGTCATCCACCAATCACAGCACTTGGCCAATAATCGAGTTTCCGATGAGCATCAAGCTAAATCTCCTTCACTAACCAACTCGATGAATCGCTCACTCCGCAATAAGGATAAAGGATAAAGCATTTGCCGTTGATCAATCCCTTTTGGGATGCGGCACGCATTCTACTTCCATTTGTACATTCGTAGTGTTGAATGCGATGTGGCCTATACAATGACTTGCGGGGGCCAGCCGATGTTCAAGTCAGTGTTTTTATCCTCCCAGACAAGTCTGGTACCAATTAACCGACCCCGGAGGGATGGAAGGCTTGGTTGGCCCGGGCGACTCACGACCCAGGATTTGATCCCGGACCGCTCGCGTGGTAGCGCGCCACTTGTCACTGCACCACTTCCGCCATTTCACGCAATAGTTGTAATAAATAAGAGGTTGCAGGTACTGCTTTCATACTTTGCACCTTTCGCGAACGTTGTGGACACTGCGAAGAGCGTCAACACACCCTCGGCGCATGACGCGTACTTGGGGCATAGTCGGCGCCTTTCAATCGGTCATTTTCACTTTCTACACAATCTTTATTTTTTCAATGCTTTACGTGTCGTGTTGCCTTCGACCGTTTTTTTTAGCGTCAGACTTTATTTTTACATGAATTATTATTTTTCAAAAGCCTATGGACGGTTATTGTCGTGCAGCTGCATGTGAAAGTGGCAGTAAACCTCCAGGTGAGCTTATTATTGTGTGATAATAATACTTCTTATAAAAAAAGAAAATAAGTACTGCGCTAAAAATCACTATAAGACCAACACGGCCCGTAAAACATCAAAAAAATATAGAATGTGTTGAAATTGAAATTAACCGATGGAAAGGCACCGACTGTGCGACAGGCACGCCTCACGCGCTAGTGCGTAGCTTGACGCTCTCCGCACTGCCCGTACTTCGCAGTGTCGATGCCGGCCCGAGGTATGAAAGGACCTTACCCACCCACGGTCACAGTGAAAGCAGCTTTACTGTTCATCATGCTTTTCGACCTTCTTTTCAATTTACGCCCTATAATGACTGCTAAGTCCCATCATTCACATAGATGTGGTGGTATCTGGTCATATGAGGGGGCGCGGGTTCCAGCAGCCATTGAATTTAGGGTATGGTCGCCAACCCCTTGAAAATTTAGTATAAAAGGGCACGGGTTATCTCAATTTTTTCCGTCTACGCCTACTCCTTCCACCTTCAATTTCTGAATACATGCGAACGTGGTGACCACTGCTTACTATCAACGCATTTCTTGAATAAGACCAGAGGTTTGGTCAGAAGAACACGGTGTCGACATACGATTCCTGATTTGGCTGAAGCATTTCGAAGTGAAACCGCCAAAAGCCTCCAAACCTAATAAGTCTCGATCAACCCTGTTGGCCGCTATGAAAATAAAAACAGGTCAAAACTTCAATGTTTTTTCGCCATCAGGTCTTAGGCGGGAAGGTTTATGAATCGCTTGACGTTTCGACCAGATCGTCTTTTTCATAGGCCTAGTTTATCAACACAAGAGCGCACTAGCACCTCTCCATGTTAGTGACAGTAAATAAACAACAATCCGAAGTTTTATGAAGAGAAGAATTGGAAACTTGCTCAGAACTCTGCAGAACTCTGGGAATAGTCAAAAGTTATAGGTAGTGGGGAGGGAAAGATGGTGAGTGAGCAAGGGAACCAGCTTAACTTTCCTTTCACATGGCCTTTGGACGGGAGTCGAACAAAATAGAATTTCTCACACTCTCTCCCTCTCTCCTAGCTTATCGCAAACGATTCTAGAACGAACTTCCAAGAAAAAGACTACAGTCAAGGAAGGATCGGTCTGTGATGGCGAATCGCTCATCAGAAAATGATGCACTCGCCTTGTACACATACAATCGCCTCTGCGACCACCACCCAAAGAGGATACATGGCTCAATCTAAACGCTTCAAAACCCCACTTCTGTTTGCCATTTTCATACAGTATTCTCACCTAGTTGCCTAATTCTGCTTGCACAGTTGTTTCTAGAGAAATCAATTTGTAAAAAAAAACAGCAAGTACTGCCAGCAAATGAACTTTCCTCTTCCATCCATCTATTCCTAACACTGAATAAAAATTGCATCCTTTTTTGTCGACTGTCGTTGCGTGCTGAGATAATTACCCTTGTGTCCCATCGGTCACGGTTCAACACTCAACAACACCCAAAAAACCCGCCATTACTGCTGAAGCGTGTTGGAACAAAATCAATTTCGACACACAAGTACAGCTCCAGAAGAGCGTTGTACCAGCATTCGGCGAGGGCGCATTACTTCCCAATCGAAATACGGGCAAAATAGGAGCACTCAGGAAGGAAAACTAGAAACTGAAATGGATTCTGTACAAGATCTGGACGATCTCTCAATGCATCGACAAAATTTCCACTCACTGTGATAAGAACATAGATATCGATTTTTGCGTTTTTTTCGTCATGTGACACGATAGCGAGCATCAATCGATACGTATGCCTCACACAGGCAATAATACGAAATCGTTGTCGCCGTCTGCCGCATATATTTCTTCACATTAGGGGGTCGTTTGCTTGTTCAATAAATGTAAAACTTTGATACAACCAAAAGTTGTTGTCAACCAAAATGTCACTGAGAGTGAAATGTGCCACATTTCAGTTCGAGAACGGCTCCCACTCCGATTGAACATCTCACCCCACCCATGGTATCAATGAGCAGCTTCCCTGACCGATCAGTGGCTCCAAGACCCCCGTCCGAACAATCAACTGACCTGCGGCATTAATTGTGGAAGTCCGGTGGCGTTCAAAAACTCAATGGCTACGAATGAAGGTAGAATTTATGGCACACTCAGCAGAGAATGATCTGCGCTAACGACTTAGTTCGACTTTCTAGATGATTAACAGCAAGGAAAAAAGGCACAGCAATGCGTGGCGCACTTCAAAAAAAATCGAGCTGTCTTTTTGGAATGCGCCATGCACTCCATTTCACCAAGAACAGCAGATTTTCAATGAACTCCAGCCGATCCAACCGCACATGGTTGCCATCCGATGTATCAGAGGAAAATCAAGGGACGGGCAACCTTTCAATTGGATACTTCTGTCGTACGAGGCTAGAGGCATAGCAATTAGCCAACAGCAGGAAGATGAAACCCTTGGAATGTGAGGAGTTCGATTTCCGCGTCTTGGGACCCTTCGGCCATCCTCAAATCCTACGCCGCTTTGATAATACTATGATGTAGCCAGAATAATGAAGGAATCAACTGGCAAAACTTGGAAAACGCAAACTCCAGAATCAGAAGCAATATTTGAAAATGCAAAAGGTCGAACTCTGAGCATCTTCAAGACGTACGAAGTCATAGCGCGAAACTTGAGAAAACTCCCCCCCCCCCACAAGGCCCCAAGGTCAGAACTGGAGCTATAGTGCAGTGCATAGCCGTCTAATATGGGTGTGGGGCACTAGATGAAGTTCTAATCTGAAACAAAGATTGAGCTCAATCGGGAATGGACTGCTTCCAAGATGTGCCTTTGCCCACTTGAGAGGTCTCTAGTACAATCGCACAATCGGGGTCGAACTAGTGGGCTATCAAGTTAACAGGACCTACTCCGCTAAGCTATGCAGTATGTACAGGGTGAATAGAGTAGCGAAAAAATTTCTGATACAACCCCCCTCTACAAGGGTGGTCCAAAATTATGAGGACCAAGACATTGTGTCGTTAAAAACGCATAGTAGCTTGATGGAACAAACCAACTTCTGGGAAGTATTTGTAACTCTTACTCTCAAAGTAATTCCAGAATAGAATTGAGATCTGCCACTTCCCCCGTTAACACGAGCCTTCGGATGAGGGGGATGGCGCGTGCGGTGGCACGCAACTAAGGCGTGTCCAAATGTTTCCAGGCCTTCTGCTCTGCCTTCTTCAGGGAATCAAACTTTTGTGTTGCATTTATTTGCGCTTGCATCCAGGGTGTGAAATACAGAAATCTAGAGCTATTAGGTGGATGGTTCCATTGTAACAATTCTTCGAAAGCAACGAACTCGAAAAATCGCTTTTTGGAGGATTTTTGCTTTATTCTTGGGTGCTCGGTCCTGTAAGAAGTTCTAAGTAGACTACTCGTGTGGCTTTCTATCCACTACAGATGTGGAGTCTTTAGAGTGTCTGGCTGGGTTTTCACATCAATTTTTTCATTTTGGGTGTACGAAAGTCGACAAGGGGAGACCTAGTTTCTGCATCTGATAATTATCCTGGTGGTAACTGTAACTTTCGAGTCCCCGAATTTTCCATCTGTGGTGATTCCAAACTTATTGAAGAGTTGAACTGTTGCTCATAAGGGCTTCCCTGATAGGTTAGACTGCTGCTAGATGTAACGTGCCAGAGCCCCTAGTGAGTTCAATTTGAGGACTGACTCAAAGTGTAGTTATTTCACTAGTTTTGAGAACTTCATGAAATTTGGTTTCATTAGGAAGAAGACATTGTACCCTTTCACATAGTGCACAGAAAACGAGATGAAAATGGAGCGATACGGAAAAAAGTGGATATGACTGCGCGCGCACGCGGTCCTCATAATTTTGGACCACCCTGTAACAACTCTCCCCAGCCTTTCCCAATCTCCCCAAATCCTCCTCCATTTAACTGCGAATCTTCCAAATCCGTCAGCCGGATGATGTGGACGGGGAGAGGTGGAGGCAGAGGGGGATGGATACTAAAGCACGTGCGATAAATGGGTAAAGCAAAAAAGGCGTTCAGGTTAAGTGATATCCTGGATTTCACAATCTCAGAAGGCTTCCCTTTTTATGACGGAATGGTTGCGGGGGCCGCGGCTGGTGATGCGAGGGGGAGGTATGGGGGCTATATTGCTGGTAGCAGCTGGGATAGGCAGTAGAGAACGTTTTAGCAGGCCTAATAGACGACGCTTTAACATCTCTGGCTTTGGGACGCAGCCGTAAGCGGTTTGGTCAAGGAAGGATCGACACGAGTATGCGCGAGCGGGATTCTATTTCCCGAAAGGTTCCTGCCACTCGTTAGGTCAGTCCTGAAGAATGCCCCCGTATAGATAACCATAAGCTAGCAGTTTTTTTTAAGTCACCCTTCCAATTGCGTGGTTGCGCAGACGAACGATGCATAAACCACGGATTACATTTTACCCTTCGGCTACAGTAGGACACATACGACCCCCACTTAGAACAGAGGTGCCAATTTGAAGGCCAAGTGTTGCACGTCCGATGAACTACTACCGGGGCTAGGAAAACATGCGGTTCCTCGTATCAAACTTGGCTTCAAGCGGGCGCCCTTCTCCCGAATAAAGCTTCTCAAATGTGGTGATTCACATATGCCTCTCATGTGGTCTCAAAGGGTTAAATACCACACCCAATAAAACCTTGTCGATCATTTCCGACTCAATTATTTCCGTCCGTTTAGATCGAGTCGAAGTAGCTCAACCTGCCTGCTAGCTGGCCTATTACGATTCAATCCATCACAGTTGCTAGTCAACGGCTCTCTTCGCTCTAATTCTGACGCTGACAGCACATTTGGAATTCGTTGCAATGCGGCGAGCGAATGATGATTTGTCCGACTTTACTCGTTCCTTCTAACAAAGGTAATCCATTGTCCGTTGTCAGCAGCAGCCGCCAACGCCGCCGCATACACACATACACGTCTGACAAAGCGCCAATTTAGTATTCATGTCTAGCTGCCGCTTGGTGCGACGACGAGACGCCACCACCACGACGACCACAGGCGACTGGAACGATGAACGACAACGGCACCCGATCAATACGCTAAAGCGAAGTGAGAACGATGGGAGGGATGATGAAGATGATGAAAAGCATAACCTTAATGAAGTACAGCGGAAATGAGCGGCTCGCTGCTTCATTTCCCACTAGCTGCACAACTCAAAGAATGATCGACTTCAGTCGACAGGGAGGGATTCGCGAGAGATTACCTATCTCAGTAAAGGGGATAAAAGGATAAAACGTTTGGGGTCGATAAATCCCTATTAAGGAAACGCCACGTATTCTACCTCCACTCAGAATAGGAGTGATATTTTGAATGCGATTTGGCCCATTACGGGGCGAGCCGTTGTACAAGTCAGTATTTTAAGCACCCGGACAAGACTAATACCGATTTACTGACCCCGGAGCGATGGAAGGACCGGCTCTCCGGATAAGGTATGAACCAGGGTTTGATCCTAAGCGTGCCACTTTCCATTACACCACTGACGACAGAGAAAACAGTAAATCAATATCAGGGAAAACACTCGATAGTATAGCCCAGGATAAATCCAGAGTCAGGATACCGATGCAAGTGAAGAGGATGACCTGGCCTTGCCGATAGCCACGACAACAGCTTGGAAGAAAACGATATTCTTCCGATTATGCAAATAATGCGAGCTGGAGCGAGTACACAGATTCAAAGAGAGAGCATGGGGAACGAGCGAGACGCAGACATCGGAGGATTCGGTATGACTTGAAGCAACATCCCCCAGATGGGTCGTGCGGAACAATCTATTCCGTGAGCAGGATTCCTGCTTGAAAATGAATTGTCAGCTCTTTTTTCATAAGTTTGATGCTTCCCTCCATGGCATACGAACTGACTTTTTCACAACTCTCACATAACTGGGGTTAAGTCCTCAGTTTATTTCAGATTCCAGCGCCAAATGTTATTATCAACCTTCCAATGTAATCACAGACTAACCTTGTGCAAAAATGCAGCTCCAGTCAGTATAATACTCAGTTGGCAGGTGTGATTACTGTTGTAGTACATCTCATCGCCATAGCGAGCATGGAATCGAGCTGGAAATCCGACAATCCGATGACGATTCTCTCTCCATACCCTTAAAATTCGATTCGTACCAATCGACATAAATAAAACCAGATCACTTCCTCGTAATTCTGAATCAACTGTGAGATTTTTTATTTCCAAGAGAACCTAATATTAACATCGGAGACGAATTTTTTAGTATAAGGAGAATGTTCCTCTCAAAAAAGCAGGTGCTTTCCAACAGTACATGGTTACGCTCATACCGCTACAGTTGAAAGACACATCGTGATCGAGTTTAATGAGTGTGGACAATACAGACCTACCTTACTCACCTCGCCCAACGTGAAACGATTCTTCTAATTGTAGTCATTACGTCACAAGTTTGTATTACAATAAATTACGAGGAACTAATAAAAAAATAAAGGAGTTCTAGTTTGATGGAGTCGGCGCTATTCTACATGGTCGATAATCTCAAGAAGGGTCCTCCACTCTTTTGAGCGTTTAACCCATGTTTGTTATAGTGCTCCCCGAGTGAAGATCTTGCCCTTTGAACCCAGTTATTTCAAACACAATCACTCAAATTTCCTCATTTTTTTCACATAGCCTTTACACCACTTCAC